CAAACTATAATAGCGATAAATACGCTAAAGTGTGTTTCGCGGGTTAATGAAAACCACTCTATACCTGTATATTGAAGTAATTTAGTTAAACATTTAACTTAGGTCTGCATTATGAAAAACGAATCCCCCATTTGTAAGGCAGCCTACGGGCCTTAATCAGTGCGCGAATACATTATTCGAACATAATTGATTGTTTGGAAACCCTTTGTTGTACTTAATTCTTTTGTAAGTTTTGTACATCTTATGTAAGCATTGAGGTTGAATCAGTAAAGACCATGTACAACTATTTTCTTACGGACGATGGAAATTTCAAAATGAGTGAGCATATAAACACCGTTAATATGAAATAGAATATTTCAATGTTGGTTAAAACGTTGTGCATTTTAAAGAAATAGTCAAAAGAACAATTTTTGCTCTGTTCATTCATATGTGACCAGTATGGCTAAAACAATATTAACATATTTACTTTATTTGATGATTTTTGATAATCAATAATAAATATTCAAGCTTTATTCAAGCTTCGCTTTGTGCTGTTTGACGACTTCTCATTTATTTCACAGCCAGCGCGTGCATGTATTTGTAAACAAGCAACTCAAATTCATTTATTTTAATCAATTTAAATTCTATATCATCGTGAACGAAAWTGTGGAAGTTCTCGGRGTGTTTTGTTGGGTTTCAGAGTTCTTCGACTGTCCTGGCCTGTTTACCGCTTATGTTAAGAGATTTCTGTCGTGCTGTTTTTCCAAATACTAGTGATGTCTGTCCGATATAAGAACTGTAAACTTTTTTCTTTAGATGATTTGGAAAACAATAAGGACAATTGAACAGCTCGATCGGTGCACATTTCATCGATTACATCGATCGGTATTCGTCCGCAAACCAGCACTCAGTACCCGTCCCCACCCCCATCAAATAATAAATCCACTGAAGAATGATTATGCAAAACCTATATCGTTTGCTTATTCATAAGCTGATTTCTGATTGGTTCGCTGCTCCCTAAGGATYTTGRTGACGTCATATATTAGCATAGAACTTCGCCGAATAGACTATCCCGATTAGGTATTATATTTCTACAAGTGTCTTCATAGTACGATGGT